TTCCTAATAAACAATCGTGGTACAAAGCTCAATAAAATATTAAAAAAATAAAAATGTTAAAAAGCCACAATAACATTGACATATAAACCATATATTTCAAAAAAAATTTTGAACTGATTTTTAAGTGCTATAAGGGACCTGTAATATAAGTTTGCACACAAAACTTTATATACCGTTTAAAAAGGAGCAAAAGGCGATCACGCCCATATTTTTACTTTTTTAGTTATTTTCATGCAACACTTAAAAATATTATGACTCAATCTCTTGAAAAAATTGGTTTGGTGCAATACCCCCAAAAAAAAAAAGTTGATTTTGCCGTATACTGTATAAGTCTGTCCCTGGCTGTTTTGTCACATCGCTTTACCAAAAAAATTTGCTAAATAATTTTCAGATGGTTACTCAACCTCAAATATTTTAATTTTGCTGTGACTTTTGTATAGTAAAAGCTCTTGTGAGATAGATTAATGGCTCATCAACCGATATGGATGGTACTAATACCGTTTTAGATCACCAGTTCAATAATGAGTATTATATAGTGGTCACAGCGCTTCATAACTGCCGATTCTGTAATAAATAACCCGGCCAATGATTTTAGAACAAAAGTAAATAAAATGAAAAATGGAGCATCCAGCGAAGTATTTGAATGCTTACCGTTCTGGTTAATGTTTCCTCGCTGTGCCATTTTTCTTCATTTTCGCAGGTAACATACAAACAAATGTACAAAATGATGCTGACATTTGTATATATACATAAATACTCATATGTTCGTGCATTTGTACAAACTTTTACATTTAAAGTTATGTAGTACTTACTTGCACACAATCTTTATTTATTATTTTAAAATAACGACCTACAAGCTTTTCTACTTTTTTGGCTTACTTTTAATGCATTCAAAGTTAGTATGTGATGAAATTAGTTTTTGTGTTTATTAACTGTTGAAATATTTTTGTTGTGTAAGCTGTAATATTTCCATTTATGGGTTAACCCTAAATTCTTCTTCATTTTGCTTCACAAAAAAATTGTTAAGATCTTGTTACAGCGTTTGTTTTTTTTTAACAAATTTTCCGGCACTGCGAAACTACAGCAAACCGATTATGCTTTATGGAGTTATCGTTTGTTTGAATGCACTGCACAAAACCACAGTAGGTAGTTAGAATTGAGGATCGCCACTACTGTGGCCCTTAACGCTATGCAGCTGCAGCAAGTGATGCAGTAATACACAGGGCCCCTGGATGCTTTACTGACTCAGGATCTGAACACTATTATTCCTCCAGATTGGAAACCGGTAAAGTTTTACAGATGGTTGGCAGCTTTACGAAAGGAGGAAACTTCATTATTATAAACGAATTTAATTTATTAAAATTAGAGTATGCATTCTTTATAATTTCATATGAGTATATCTATGTGTGTGATCTACTGATGATTTTGTTGATATGATTTAATTTGTAACTAAAATAAAACTAATAATAATCAAGTAAAAGAAAAACTTAACTAAATACGAACATAACTACATACATACGTGCTGACTAAAATTTCAAAAAAGAAATTATTTTTTTAAAAGTAAATGTAATTAAAGATTGAATTGCACTTTTTAAAGAAATAATATACTAAATTGGTAGATGATATTTGTCTGCGTGCCACTGGTGCTTGCTCAAGCATGCCGCACCACCATCTCCTGTATCCATTTGGCTGTAGTTTGGATATTGTGATAAATGCCCGGCTGATGATCGACGCCGCAACCAAAACCGGCGCTAGTGATGCCAACCAAAATGAAACGACCACGCTCTTTCACAATTAGTGGCCCACCAGAATCGCCTATAACGGGGTAAAGAAAGCAAATTAAATTCGTAAGAAAACAAACTAATAGTGTTTGTAGTTAATGAGCTGTAAGAGCACAACACGAGCGCCTAGAAGTATGCAATATTTGGAAGTTAACTTCAACCAAACTATTTGTAACAGACTGCTGTTAACAGAGCAGTGAAGTGTTGATGTATATTTAAATTAAAGGTACAGTGACAAATCGATACGATGAACCTTGATAAAACGAAAAACTAAATTATAACAAAATTTTTCCTGAGTCCCGTATAAAAACCGCTAAGGTGTGAAATTGTGAGCAAGAAAACTTTCGGAGCAAATTGATGGTTAAAATTCCTTTAGCAAAAGCCTCCATATAACAAAGTATCGATTTAAAAGCTTATACCCACTTACAAAGATTTTTTCCAAAATTTTGCATTTTAGTTGTGTTGCGGTATTGATATTCTATAAATGTAACGAAACTATAGATATAACGATGCATTTATCCACTCATCGAGGTTTTACTGTACTTTTTTGATCTTTTTTTTAAACTTACCCAAGCACGCATCCTGATGCCCATCCGAGTGACCCGCACAAAACATTTCGCCATAGAGTTCCACATTGATGCGTTTACTTTCGTGCCAGCGTAAGCAATCAAAGGCCGCTGGTGAGAGAATAATTTCAAATATTAATGTGATATTTTTTACTTTCTAAAAAAAAATGTCCTTACTTATTATGGGTACCGTCGCGACTTGCAACATATTGGTACCTGCATGGCCCATACTCGCTTCGGTCTTGCCCCAACCGGCAATTAGACCTTTCCGTCCAATTAGAGCAATCGGAAATAATGGCAAGCAAATTGGAAGAATGTGTTCACTGGAGTGTACAGAAGAAAAGTTTTTTTCTTGCGGACATACACACAAAAATGGTATACACGACTCTTACCTAAATCCCGTCGGCTTGGCCAGCTTTAGCAGCGCCACATCGAAGCGATCCGGCTGTGTCATGCGAAATTGAAAACGCGGATGTACAATCTTTAGTATAACATTATGCTTCTCCACCGGCAGTGGCTCGTGTATATGACCCAAATTCTGTGTATCCAATTCACCCAAATAGACGGAGATGTCCTGCAGGCGCGCCTGTTGTATGCAATGCGCTGCCGTAGCGACAATATTATGCGACACCAATACACCGCCACACTGGAATTCCGCAATGCGTATATGCGCCTGCCATGGATATTCAGCGAAATTCGCCGATCTTCCGCCAATGATGCGCTTTTGCAGAGTGCGCTGTGTGGCACGCGGCAAGCCGCATTCAGGCTGAAAGTAAGAAGAGCAAAAAGTAATTCAAATGTTGCTGTTATTTTGGTGCGAGCGCTCTGCTTATTTCCAACCAACCTTGACGAAGACATCATTATCGTTGCGTCTTTTCAGCATCACACGCTTGGGCAATACCCCGGCGCCACCAGTGCCGCTAATGCCACTGCCTGTCAGGCGCTTGTACTCGGTGAGTGCATTGCTAACTACATTAACAACTGGCGCTTGATTGGCGTCACCATATAACGGTCGATATTGAATTGTAGCTTCACCGGTGGCGAAATTGGTTGCTGTGTTGGCGTTGAAGCTACCGCTGTTGCTGTTGCTGTTGCTGTTGCTGCTGGTCCCACCGATGCAGCATGAGAATAACCACTTGTTGGCGCCACAGCCTTTGGCATGCCGCCCGCCTTGCAGCCAACAGGAAAACGACAATTTGCACGGCCACACGCTGTTCTGATGTGTGCACTCACTGGGCACGCCCAAAATGGTGTTTAGAATGCCTAGAAAATTATGAAAATCAGTATTAAGTGGACATTCGTCAGCTTTAGAGATGATGATGATAAAGAAACCAGCAATGGCTAATCTGCAGATCTTGAAAATAATCATAGAGAAAATTGCTTCATTGTATCATTTAATCCTTTCGACCCGCATTTTTTCCTGTGACATAAGGAGTTTAGTTTTACCTTTGGTATTGTTTTTTTTATTCTAGAAAAATTGTGGGTACAATTTTAAGTAGCCACACCCATTACTCGAAGGAATCGAAAGGGTTTAAAATGAAATGAATGAAATCTTCCTAATTTTGTGAAATGCCTTCTTGAACCGTAGTCGGGTAGGTATAGCTGTAAGCTTTCATTCAGTACGTTTTGGGTTCGAAGACAGGTCAGCGCAGACTTTAAATTTTCTATTTTTAGTTTTTATTTAGGCTACCTAATATATATATATATATACAAATAGAGAAAATTCCTTTTTGAATACATTGAAAAGACAAATCCCACTATAAATAAGAATGCCTTGTTCTTGAAGAAAATTTACAGAGATATATTCTTACTTTCTTCTATATTCTATTTTCGCTCTGTACATTTTTTAACTAAATTGTAATTTCACAGACTATTAAAGTAATATCAAGAAGCTAATCTGCCAAAAATTTACCATACTAAGGGCCACTTTCTCAAGTAACCTGTAACTTTAAAGCTCACTTTATATTTAAAGGTTTCATTAAAATTAATGATTCTGTCTACAGTAAGTTTTTAAACCAAAAAACATACATTTGTCAAAATCGGATAATAGAAATGCGCAACTTTAGAAATAGCTTTATTTTTAATCCAACATTTAAATATAAAGTGAGCTTTAAAAATAGAGGGTACTTCAGAACACGGCCCTAATAGAAATACTTATATCTATTTATTATTATATAATTTTTCAATTTTGATAAGGAAAGGAAAATTGCGGTCTTAAAAATGCAATGCTTTTCCTAAAGCATTTCCGCGTGGCTTTACTGGTTTTATGGCGAAGCAGAGATTGGTCAAACGCTGAAGCCGAGTGGTTGAAGGTGATTGCAACCTTGTTCCATCGGAAGCGACATTAAGTTTTAGGTATCGCCAACAAAAAAGTACATCACAGACCAGAGGATAAACTCGGTCTAGCACTAAAGTGATTTTTTTTTGTTTCAATTGGTTTTGTTTAAGTTTCCATGTTAAGTGGTGGCTAGTACAGCCCATAAGCGGTTTGTGTCAAATGATTATGGTTTCCATGAGAAAATTTGACCTTTCCGCTTGCCATAGACAGCAATTCGTGTTCGATGGCAAAACGCATGGAACGATGGTTGATCAAGAGATTGATGTCATTAAATCTCCGTTTTGCGTACCTTTGCATACTTAAAAGTTTGTAATTAAGTTGACCCTCAACCGCCGCTCAGTTATACCGATTTAAGAAAGAAGAAGTCTAGATCTTTCGAGCTGCGTTTATGTAAATTTTTAAAACATAAAAAATCTGCGTATTTGCCCAGAAAATACAATTTTCGGTCACCTTTTTTTCAATTTGGCGATGTTCTTACGCACTATTTTATAACACAACCATACAGGTCCTAAAGAGTAAAACAAATTTTTCCGTTCAAAAATTGGATGAAAACTGACAGAGTGATTCAAGTTTTCATGAAATTTATTTTTTAGTTTTGTTAACCGTTATGCCAAATTTACACTAGGCATTAAATGATACAAATTTATATGACAAAGTTGGGCATTAAAGAATATCTGTGCCATTACGTTAAGAAGAATTGTCATTAAATTTGTTTCCATATGGCATTGTTTAAACAGCATGAATTTTTCGGCTTTATAATGCCTAATGGAAATTCGGCATAACTCAAAAATTTGGGATGTGCTTGGCAAATTTCATATATCCATTCTCGTTTCGCTCGACAAGACATAAAAGAAAAATAAACAACATAACTTCCCAGGTATTTTGGAGTGTTGCACAGTGCCATTCGTTCGTTGGTGCCAAGCAAACTTGCTTTTATTCTTTTAGTTTCTAATAATCTTGATTTATACAATGCATTGTTTAGCATCAAAAGAATAACTTTCACTCATTTATTTTTCTAAGTTGTACTATGAATTGTTCAAAGATTTTTTACAGATGTTTTTTCTTAAGATCATTAACTTAACATAATATACATACATATGTATTTATGCATGCATAGTATAATCATTTTACTTACTTGCATCAACTAAAATGGCTAATTTGAAGAGATCGCAACAGTGGCCGACGATGAGGAGCCACCATAAATTCCATAGGTGCATGGCGTGCTACCGGTTGCGCTCGGCATGTGTGCGTATTTCTAACATAGACGCATGTGTGAGCGCTACAAAACAATTTAAATACTCGTATACGCGGATCGGCTTAAATACTTTGGAAGTACTGCTTGTGACATGTTCATGCAAATTGATGGCGCTAGTCAGAGCAATTACAGCAATGATCTGCAAAAAAAAGGAAACAAAATATTGGCAAACAAGAATGTGGTTATGGTGTTTAAGTAAGCTTGAAAAATAAAGTAAATAGTAAAAGAAGTAAATATATACAGTAAAAAATACTTAACCGAAAGGAAGAAAGATAATTGCAGTTAAAGGAAGAAAGTGAAGTAAGCAGAAAAAATAGCTGCGATGGATATATGCGCATCTTGCGATATGTGTGTGCTTACGTCAGTGTTGCCATTATAGTGTTTTCCGGCAAGATTAAACTTTTTTAAGATTTTATTTCTTCGTAAATAATTTATAATAAATATGAGTAAGGTACTTATATATTTTAAATGCAATTTAAAGTATTTATTGGATATGTTATTAAAAACAAAGACGAATCATGATTTGAAAACTCAGAAAGGTCTGTATTAAGGAATCAGTGAAGAAGAAAAATGAATAAATATACTTTTGCTTTCGAGATTCAATAACCACATTTTAAAGAGATTTTAATTAGAGAAATACTACAATATAAGATTTTTAAAGATGAAGTGAGTTCTAAAGTATAACATCTTTAACGAAAAACATTGGGTTGGCATAAGTAATTCAACTTAGGCCAAATTGAAATTAAAGAGCGAAAATACGACTTTTTTTTAAATAGGAATTAACTAAAAAAAAAATTGTGTTTAACATATTTTGCAACATGCAGCTAACGATCGAGTTTCTCAACAAAGAAAGATTGTCAAACTTCTTCAAACCGTATACAAAAGCGACGCCCAACTAGTAATTCGAGTGAGAATCTAGTTTGCTATAAACTGCCTCAGAATACGTAATTGGATTAACTATTTCTTTGTTGCTAAAGGCCGCTGTGGCATAGCGGTAAGCAGTGCGCACTTCCACTCCGCAACGCCTGGGTTCAAACCCTGGTCAAAGCAACATCACAAAAAATATAGAAAAAAGGTTTTTTCTTAACAGCGGTCGTCCCTCGGCAGGCAATGGCAAATCTCCGAGTGTATTTCTGCCATGAAAAACAGCTTCTCATTGAAATACAATCGCCGTTCGGAGTCGGCGTAAAACTGCAGGTCCCTCCGCTTTGTGTGACAACATCAAGGCGCACGCCAGAAATCAGAGGAGAAGCTCGGCCAAACACTAACATATGTGTAAGCGCCAATCTATTATTATTATTATTATTATTTTTAAAAAAGGAACATGTAGCGAAGTAATTCTGAGACAGCGAAGAGTATAATATATTTAGCTAATAGTTTTGTTAGCATGATCCTGAAAAGTTAGCTTAGAATAAATGATAATACCAAGATTCGTAACTTTGTCAACTAGTTTTAGTGAACTTCTTAGTTAGTTTTTCCTTTGAATATAGGTAATACATATTTATGATTTTTGTGCATCAAGGCGAAGAGAGTTTTTCTTCGACAACTCAAAGATGGAGTGCAAATCCTCATTAAGCCTGTAGCTAAAATCTTCGACCAACCCTATCCTGTTTGAGGGATACTGTTGAGCGTATCAAGAAGTATTTACATACCACCATGCAAAAAAAATAGTCATACTTTCGTCATTTGGTATAATATTTTTTGCAAAATATTTACATATTGCGAAAACAAGTTGTTCCTTATAAATATGTAACACTCCATAGCCCTTTAAATATTGATACTTTTAACGACTCTAATTTTTGGAAATTTTACTTATGTTTAGCCATTTTGTTGGGCAAGTTCTGGCAACACTGGTTAAGCTAGTACTTTTATACGCAAACATTCCCTCCAACATACATAAGTACATATGTATACGTGTGCAGAAAAAATGAGAATTTACAATATTTCTCACTGCATGTATCAATTATAACTTCGCACGTTGCCTACGCTAATGAAAGCATGACAAAATATGCCCACCGCATTCACCTGTCTCCAGCCGCCAGCCACCAGTCGCCAGCTACAACAACTATGTAAAATCTTTTAGCTGTTGTCATTGCTATTCTCCGCTGGCCCATTCACACAATCATTTTTAAGTGTCGCGCTTCACTTGTGTAAATAAAAATACAATACTTTATATATAAGCATATATGTATGTACACATGTGCACATTCATTCATTGTTTTATTGTTATTACTTGGGAAAATGTGTCGCTGTGTTCAGCTGCTCGCTAACTTGGCGACTCAAGTCAACTGTTGTTGCTATTTTTTGCTGTTATTGCTGTTCGCTAGCGGCAGCAAAACTTTTAGCAAACAAAAAATTTAAACAAACATGCTTGCATACGTGTTTTGCTCTAGATTTTTGCATCTTTTGTCGGTTTTTTTTTCAGTTTTATCATTTTGCTTATAGTTAACTGATTTACTTATGTCAGTAATGTTACTTACGTACATAAATATGCACATATATATAGTACAGTAAAATATATATAATGCTAAGATGAACGAACTGGTTTTAATCTGAACAGGTGTCATTTGTTAAGTGGTTTCAAACTGGTCCAAAAAAAGCACTTCGGATTACCCCTAACCTCGCGCTTAACGACATGTTAAACGTAGTACTCATTGATCTAGCAGGCAAAGCTGCTGTCGCGGACACGGTAGCTAAGCTAAGTTTGTAAAATTTTTTGGTTCGTTTCAAGCTATGGACAACCCGGCATCCTCAGAAAATAAACTGAAATTGTATA